AAAACTGCTAGCAATAAATAATGATATGTACTTTTTTTTTTGCCCTCGAAGGTAAATGCTGAAGGGTTTGGGTATATAATACCAGATTCGGTCTTAAACAATGCGTGTAGCATCAAATTTGAGCATCAACAAATTGCCCATGTTCAGCGACGTTTCTTTGTTATCCAGCAGAACCAAATACAAGTATACAATGTAGATATGACTCTGTATCAAAGACAGTCATTTAAAGCAGCATGCCTCCAGATAAGCCAAAGTATTTCTATAAAATCAAACTTGAGAAAGATGTACTAAGATTTTTGAAAAAAGTAAAAAGGGAATTCAAGATATAATTTACATGTTAAGTGGAATTAATATTTGAATAATCGTTCTGTTTTATGTCTCAATATCGCATTTCGGCGATAATTTTCACTTTACAGTCTCATGTAATGTAAAACATTTACAGTTTAAATACGGCAACGGTTATTATGCCCTTTCCTTAAAAAAGGCTGCATTATTTCAGGCAGAAAACACGGGCACCAGAGTAGAACCACCGACGTTCCGTAAGCTAGGTGATGGATAGCTTCCCTCACATGAATGAATCCAAAGTCCCAGTCAGGATTTGAACACGCAAATGTGAGGAGCTAGCAAGTAAGAACCCAAGAAGTCAAACGACCTAGTCACTCGGCCACGGACGCCACTCTAAAAAATAGTGGGAAATTAACATGTTACATTTCGTTCAAAAAAGTATGATCGGAGACAAAATTGATTTTTTTTTATATTTTCATTCAAATAAGCAAGGAAATAGAGAGACATTGTGAAACAATTTTAGTAGAGAAGCATAAAAATGAGACACAAACATTACATAAAAACCTATTCATGAGGTAATACGAACGTTTATATCACAAACACTTAATACGTAATATATTAAGTAAACAACGTAAGTTATAAATTTATAAAATTGTAATGCATGTGAAATTCAAGTTATAATTCAAGTAAAGGTCATTTAATACATTGTATACATAAAAAATTTATTTACAATGCATTGCATATAGAAATGACATACATTCATTGCAAGATGAGCATATTTTCCGCTTTTGCAGGTATTTTTAACTGCCGAACAATAAATAAATTAAATAAATGTACTAACAAAGACTTCGGATATCTTACATACATCTTAACACAACTTTTTTACTCGTACATTACAGTCACGTAAATTGAAACCGCAATCCACAACTAACAAATTCCAAATAATGTTTATCAAATTCCTCATTCTGTGCCACTGTAAACCAATTTTTCCAATCGCCAACTTTTCCTGAAATATGAAAACCATTAAAGTGACATTATGTTCATTTTTTTCTTTGTAAAGATGAGCTGAACTGACGATATATTTCATAGGATTGACTACTAGTTTACAAATGGTGATTGATCAACTGTTGATTAGAAAATGATGACAACAAATAAAATATAAATAATTTGAACGTAGCATGTAATAATCCTCAAGAATATTTGTAGAAATTTCCTTGGGCCATGTGAGTTATTTTTCGTCCATTCAAATTGCATTATAGAATTAAAAGGAATTATGTCAAAACGTAAACTTTGTTTGATTTTTACATTTTCACTCATTAATTTCTCTTGGATTGGCATAATATCACATTAAGCAAATCATTGCGAATATAACGAAAAGAAATAAATAGCATACAAAGATATTAATGTATTTGAAGGAAATCTCTATATACTTCCTTGTTACATATTATTGTTTTTCGAACAGTAAGCTATATTCATTTCAAATCATTGAAAAATAAATATACATGTACACACAAAAGAATATCATTAGGCCTAAGTAAATATTTGATTTTTTTTTTTAAAAAACAATAAAAACCTTTTCGGTACAATGTGTAACCCCCGTTATATATTTCTCTACGAACGTTGTCCGGGTGCATTTTATCTTTATACATATTACGAAACTGACATTTCTCAGAAATAGCCTGCACAAGTTCTTCACTTGGGTCGAGCCCCAAAAAATTTCGCCAATCGTTTTATTTCTTCTACGTGGTTCAGCAAAAAATCAATAAATAATATACCAATTGTCGGGATATCAAATGAAAAATTAGTCAGAAAGTGTAGCCTTGTCTGGTTTATACTAGTGGTAAAGGTTAATCACCTGGCATATACTGGTGGCAAAGGCTAATCACTTGGCTTATACTGGTGGTAAAGGTTAATCACCTGGCTTATACTGGTGGTAAAGGTTAATCACCTGACATATACTGGTGGTAAAGGTTAATCACCTGGCTTATACTGGTGGTAAAGGTTAGTCACCTGGTTTATACTGGTGGTAAAGGTTAATCACCTGACATATACTGGTGGCAAATGATAATTCACATGGTTTATACTGGTGGTAAAGGCTAGTCACCTGGCTTATACTGGTGGCAAAGGATAAGCACCTGACATATACTGGTGGTAAAGGTTAATCACCTGGCATATACTGGTGGTAAAGGATAATCACCTGGCTTATACTGGTGGGCAAAGGCTAGTCACCTGGCATATACTGGTGGTAAAAGCTAGTAACCTGGCTTATACTGGTGGCAAATGATAATCACTTGGCTATACTGGTGGCAAAGGCTAGTCACCTGGCTTATACTGGTGGTAAAGGTTAATCACCTGGCATATACTGGTGGCAAAGGCTAGTCACCTGGCTTATACTGGTGGCAAATGTTAATCACCTGGCTTATACTGGTGGCAAAAGCTAGTCACCTGTCATATACTGGTGGCAAAGGCTAATCACCTAGCATATACTGGTGGCAAAGGCTAGTCACCTAGCTTATACTGATGGCAAATGTTAATCACCTGGCTTATACTGGTGGCAAAGGCTTATCACTGGCAATATACTTGTGATAAAGGCAAGTCACCTGGCTTATACTGGTGGCAAATGATACTCACATGGCTTATACTGGTGGCAAAGGTTAATCACCTGGCATATACTGGTGGCAAAGGCTAGTCACCTGGCATATACTGGTGGCAAAGGCTAATCACCTGGCATATACTGGTGGTAAAGGCTAGTCACCTGGCTTTTACTGGTGGCAAATGTTAATCACCTAGCTTATACTGGTGGCAAAGGCTAGTCACCTGGCATATACTGGTGGCAAATGATAATCATAGGCTTATACTGGTGGCAAATGATAATCACTTGGCTTATAATGGTGGCAAAGGCTAATCACCTGGCTTATTCTGGTGGCAAATGATAATCACCTGACTTATACTGGTGGTAAATGATAATCACATGGCTTATACTGGTGGCAAAGGCTAATCACCTGGCATATACTGGTGGCAAAGGCTAGTCACCTGGCTTATACTGGTGGCAAATGATAATCACCTGGCTTATACTGGTGGTAAATGATAATCACATGGCTTATACTGGTGGCAAAGGCTAATCACCTGGCATATACTGGTGGCAAAGGCTAGTCACCTGGCTTATACTGGTGGCAAATGATAATCACCTGGCTTATACTGGTGGCAAATGATAATCACATGGCTTATACTGGTGGCAAAGGCTAATCACCTGGAATATACTGGTGGCAAAGGCTAGTCACCTGGCTTATACTGGTTGCAAATGATAATTAATCACATGGCTTATAAATACTGGTGGAAAATGATAATCACATGGCTTATACTGGTGGCAAATGATAATCACATGGCTTATACTGGTGGCAAATGATAATCACATGGCTTATACTGGTGGTAAAGGCTTGTCAACCCGGCCCCTTTAAATGGTGGGGGAAAAATTTTTTCACCTGGCTTATACTGGGGGCAAAGGTAAACAACCCGGCAAATACTGGTGGAAAAGCTAATCATCTGACTTTTAAACTGGTGGCAAAGGTAATCAAAATGGGTTATACTGGTTTGGAAAAATTTTAAACACCTGGCTTTTACTGGTGGAAAGGTAAAACACTGGCTTTTTTCTGGTGGAAAAGGTAATCACGGGGGTTATACTGGGGGGCAAAATAAAAATCAACCCTGGTTATACTGGGTTTGGAAAGCTAATCACCCGGCTTTTACTGGGGCAAAGGTAATCCCTGGATTTTTACTGGGGGCCAAAAAGGGTTTAAACACCTGGATATCTGGTGGCAAAAGGTAAACACCTGGCCTTAAAACTGGTGGAAAGGTAAATCACCTGGCCTTAAAACTTTGGTGGCAATGATAGTCACCTGGCTTATACTGGTGGCAAATGATAATCACATGGCTTATACTGGTGGCAAATGATAATCACTTGGCTTATACTGGTGGCAATGGCTAATCACTTCCGATGCCAGCATGGAAAGAATTTAAGGCAATGAATTTAAAAAGATGTGCATCATCAGCATATACTTCATAAAGATATCTTTACCACGATTCAAGCGTTACCTTAAAAATGTTTTGGGAACACGACCGAATAAATCTTGAATGTACGGAAGCGTATATGGTACATCCTGTTGGCGCGTTCATGTAGGGGGATACTACCATATATACGCTTCCATAGATTCTACATTTCGAAGGATATTCATATCAGTGATATTTAAGGTCTGCATGTATTTTTTTTAGTTTTATAATATTTAATGGTATACATAGATATACATCAATTCATTTACATCAACAAAATTACACAATATGCAAAAGGGTTGGGCCAAAAGTTTTTACAACATTATCGTGGGCCCTTCCCTGTAAATGTTTAACATCAGTTTCATAAGTAAAGATAGTTTTACATTTAAGTAAATATGCATTAAGTTATTATCAATATAGATAAATACTATATCACCAGCTATACTGTAATGTAACTCATTTTTATGACTAAGAATATTTTCGCTCTTCAACGTACTTGGAAATTTTTAATATTTATTTTTTTTATTTTATGTATTAATGTTAATTGTACATGTACTTATTACGTAAATCCCATAGTATTTAAATCTACATGTACCCGTACAGAAATGTCGTGTTAATTATACGACCGAAACCTCGCAATTACGGAATATAGTCTAACCTTACTTGTTCATATTTACTTCCCTTTGAAATACTTACACCATTTGTACAGAATTTAATATTTGGAGCATGTTCATGATGTTAATCAGTTTACGAGTTTCATTGTGTCAACAAATTCTAATATTTACTGTGTAACTTGAACCTTTATTATTATGCTAAGTTGAAATACAGGTAGGTCTTCTATTGAAAAATAATTTGTGACATTAAACATAATTATGTTAGATCCTCCCTAGCTCTCGCTTCCAAAACTTTATAAGCCGCTTTTTAACATTTTTGTTTTTCATCTGATGCGGCATTAAAGTTTTGAATAAGACACGTTACGAAACATAACCAGAATAACATACGTTGATTTAAACTTATTTTTATTTGCAAATACCATCGTCCCAATTAATTATCGTGCATTTTGCGATAAAACAACTATTTTGATATCGTTCTACACCATAAATATTTAAAGTTCCAAAAATTAATACTGTCATTCAAATTACCAATTTAACAGTGAAACATCAATTACTCCGACTACAGGCAGCCATGACATTGAGGAGCTACGCGAGACCTCTTATGATGAATGATGTATGTTGCAGGAACCAACTAGAGTAGAGTCGCATACTATATTTAGAACATCTTTGTTGACATGATTTCAATATTTATAATTCAAGATAATGTTTTTTATTTATTTTCTTTAATTTTTTAGTACTTAAATAAAATTATATTTAATACAAGTTAGTAACTCACCTTTTTAAATATCTTTAAAAAAAAAATAATTTACTAAAAAAGTTGGAAGCACATGACCCATGGGTTCTGCTTTCTGAACCGTCCACACAAATTAACCTGTAAAGGTCAATCTCAAAATCACATGGTCAAACATTTTGGCTATATCGCGGCCAAGTGTTGCATTTTTTACCTGTCGGAAACTATAAGGTGGATTATGTTCGTGATAAGTTTTTTTATATGTCTATCCTTGGCTTATCAACAGATTATACATAGTTTTATCAAGGTATGCTTCACTTTAGTTCATGGCATGCTAGATGTATGGATACGAGCGATTATTGTTGGACTTTCCCTATGGGTCTGTTTTCAGCGTTTACATTATGTCATAGTGTATAAATGGGTATGCTGAAGACCTTAAGCTAGATCCTCCCTTGCACTAACCGACGTCAAACTGTCACTAATTTGTGTGTATTTGAGTTTATCTATACTCCCCAGCAGTTGCCCATATCAGCGAGTTCTCCAGAAGAGTATGAGTCATTTTAGATTTTGAAGGATTGTGCAAGATAAGATACAGAAAGATGCCCAAATTCCAGAAGCTTCTCCTGGTTCTTCAGCGTGCCAAGTGTTAACCTTAAAGCACTCATACACTGGACCTCTATTAAAAGTCTCATCCGAAAGACTGATTAAATAGTAATTTTTAGTTGGCCAGACTTGGAATCTAACCCACAATTTTGAGATTATAAGTTTCGTGCTTTCACCGATTGAGCTATGCTGGCTGGCATGCCACTGTCACTAAGCTATCACAGCGTTGCTTTTATAAAGCATGTACTATGATGTAGGACATTTAACTTCCATCAGATGTAAATGATGTATGTGTATGTGTCACTATGATTTCCTCAATATTTATGCACCACTCAATTGATTAAATATTTGAAATCCATGACCCCAGCCAAAGGGGCAATAGAAATGAAGTGGTCTTCATGTGAAATCTTGCAAGAATTGGAAGAATGTTAACTTAAATCAGAATTGCAGTGATACAATGTAAAGAATTGTATTAAGTTTATGTGAAACAATATTTAATATCAATGTCAGCATCTTTTGGACCATTTATTATTATTTCCAGAAAGTGTGATGTACAAAAAACTTGTAACTAAAGGGACAACAGACTATTGTTATCTGAAAGTAAGACTGTAAGTATAAATGATTTTAGTTTAGGTTAGAACTAAGAAATAAAATTAATATTTGTCAATTTTATAAAGTACATTTAGTGCAATGTTAATTTTATCTTGCTTTTTCCTTTATATAAAGTGTTATTATATTAAGTAAAGTAATATAGTCAATACATTCTCAATTATAGCTGTTTTTATATTTGACAATGTTCCTGCATTAAAAATTATTCTTCAAATTTACTTTATAAAGTGTGAAAATTTAGTAACAGCCATGATTACACATTCTTTAGAACCTGTACTTGTTGTAAGATGTTTTTCTTTTATTTGAAACCTGTGTTTACTCATAAAGAACAATTCATTGTTGCAAAAGTTCCACAAGTCATGTTCCTAAAATAAAAATATGAGACCGCCTCTTGGTCGAGGGGTTAGAGTGGTGACTTCTTATTCAGCTACCTCTCTGGCGTGGGTTTGATCCCAGGGAGATGCTTTGGTAGTTTAGCACGGAGGAAGGTAGTCTAGTACTGGTGTAACTCTCCAGGAACAATGGTTCGGAAACTACTCGCCTATGTGACTGAAATACTTTTGTGAAAAGGCGTAAAATGAAACAAACAAACAAACAAATGTTCCTTAAATGAATTACAATCATAATTTAGTGAATAGGTCAAAGCCTTTGTTATACATTTTAAGCCAAATGGAGATACCTAAAATTTATAGGTATGTATAATTTTAGCCATCTTTCTGTATATATGTAATATCTTTGATGTAAGTTTACAATATTACCAATATTACAGATTATTTTCCAGCTTAACTTGAACTATATAAGATACAAGTAGTGTTTAAAATATGCCAATTTATATTTGTTTACTGTTGATGAATGTATCATTTTAAGCTAAAAATACAAGATCAATGTGCATATTTTTACTTTTGTTTAATTCAGGGATTTTGAAGATGTGGACCTGCAAATAAGTGCATTAGATTTCAAGCAGATTGTTATAGAGGCTGTAACTTCCCTTTTTGGACTGGTAAGGTTACACTTATATTTTCTTACTCATGAAAATGAATGTAGAATAAAAGGAAAAGGTAGATTTATGAGTTCATCACTTAATGCCTTTCAGTCAATCTGTCTGAGAATCTGGATCTGGCAATAACATTAAACAACTATTTCTTATTGTTTGTTGGATCTAATACAAAATAAAAAAAATCAAATCTGCTGAAATTTTTGAAAGATAAATATATACAAAGTGGTAAAAATCATCTTATGAAAATGATATAGTTAGTGTGCTTCATTTTCACCTTAATAGAGAGCTATGTTGTTTTCATGTTTAGTTCAATCTACATTTGCAATGATATATTTTTTTCAAATTACATTTGAAATTATATATTTATTTCAATTTACAATTGAAATTATATATCCCATATGTAACATAGAGTATTAAGCTTTAAAACAGTCATTATTGTTATATCAGAGTTGAATTTTATGTTTTATAAAGGCAGGGGCAGCCACATTGATTGACATATTGAGATATGATGAGCATGAACGTACAGCAATCATTAGAATTTATCACAAGTAAGTAGTTGCAATATAATTCATCTTAGAATGCCTGCAACTGACTTTTCTGCTTTTGTTCTCTGATTGATGTACTTATTAAAGGCACATTATTCCTCAGAAACGAGTAATTTTTTGTGCCCCCACCTTAGTGGCGGGCATTTAGATTTACCCTTGTCTGTCCTTCCGTCCGTCCTTTTGTCCATCCGTCCTTCAGTCTGTCCGGCACATAACTCAAAAAGTATTTGACCTAGAGTCATGAAACTTTACAGGAATGTCGATCAGCATGTGTAGTTGTGCACCTGGGTATTTTCGTCTGGATATTTCTAGTATTTTTAGAGTTATTGCCCTTGACTTAGTAAAATTTTGCAATTTTCAACTTGTGTCACATGTAAATCAAAAAGGATTTGACCTAGAGTCATAAAACTTTACAGGAATGTTGATCAGCATGTTGTAGTTGTGAACCTGGGTATTTTTGTCTGGATTTATTTAGTATATATGAGTAATTGCCCTTGACTAAGAAATTTGTTTGCAATTTTCAACTTGTGTCGCATGTAACTCAAAATGGATTTGACATAGATTCATTAAACCTTATGGGAAGGTTGCTCAGCATATTTAGTTTTGCACCTGGGGTTTCGCTTGTGGATTTATCCAGTATTTGTAGAGTTATTTCCCTTGTTTTAGTAAAAACCGTTTCATTATGTTGTTATTTGTTCCTTGAGTGCTTGAGTTAGAATCAACCAACTTTACAGGAATAATGATCAACATCACTAAATTACAGGAATAATGATTCACATCACTGTGAAGCTATGCACCTGGGACTTTGCATGTGGATTTTTTTCAGTTTTGTTAGAGTTATTGCCCTTGACTTACAGTAACATAAATTTGCAATTTTCAACTTGTTCATGCATAGCTTAAAAAGTATTTTCACTTGTAGGCCTGAAAGTTTACAAGAATGTTGGTCAGCATGTGTACTTATGCACCTTGGGGTTTGCTTGTGGATTTATTCAGTATTTGTATTTCTTGCCCTTTACTTAGCAAAAGATTTTTAGTTTTCAAAAAATATTTGACCTAGAGTCATAAGACTGACAGAACAGTGGCGCGCTGGGGGCACCTGTGTCCTATGTACACATTTCTAGTTCTTCTTTAGAAAGGACAAATATGATTTTTTTATTGTTTAAATAATGTGTTTAGACCATATTAGATGCTTGTAAACCAGAAGAAAAATAGCGCTGTATGTGAAATTATTTGTGGAATTATTTGTCAGAAAAGAAGCAAAATTGTAAACAAAGTAGCATTTTGACTTCCTTTATGGCATACAAAATATTAAAATGGCCAATGAGTAACTTTTTTGAAACTATTGAAGTACACCAAAAATGAGAACCTTTCATGAAATAAAAATATTTTTTTTCTGGTTAATAATGGGCCTTTAACATAATTAAAAGTTTTGTTATTTATTTTCATGCATGTCAGACTTGATTTTGTAGTTTCTCCAAAACTGTTGTAAATATAACTTTGTAATAATATCTGAAATATTTCTTAATTAATTGCACTTGAGTGTTATTAAGAGATTTAATTTTCTGCATGTAAACATTGTTCCTTTTAATTTAATTTTCTTTTATCATTTACATATATTTATAGAAATTACCTGTTGTTGTTGATATATGTTTTGTGTTTTGTAATTATGCCCCCACTTCGAAGAAGAGGGGGTATATTGCTTTGCACTTGTCGGTCCGTCCGGTCCGTCGGTCCGTAGACCAAATGGTTTCCGAGTGATAACTAAAGAACCCTTAGGCCTAGGAACTTCAAACTTGGTATGGTGATTGGTCATGACCAGTAGATGACCCCTATTGATTTTGAGGTCAAGGGGTCAAAGGTCAAGGTCACATTGACCTTGTAGGTAAAAGCTGTTTCCGATCAATAACTAAAGAACGCTTAGGCCTAGGAACTTCAAACTTGGTATGGTGATTGTTCATGACCAGCAGATGACCCCTATTGATTTTGGGGTCAAGGGGTCAAAGGTCAAGGTCACATTGACCTTGTAGGAAAAAATGGTTTCCGGTCAATAACTAAAGAACCCTTAGGCCTAGGAACTTCAAACTTGGTATGATGATTGGTCATGACCAGTAGATGACCCCTATTGATTTTGGGGTCAAGGGGTCAATGTCATAGTGACCTTGTACTTAATGACCGTTTCTAACCAATAACTCAACAACTCAAGTTGCCTTGGTTGATATTTTTATGTGCTTTTGGTATACACATTTGAAGGTCTTATGTATTATTACAACTTGGCTGTCATTAATGAGGCCTATGTGATTCATAAAATTTATGTATATATTATTTGGTAAGATTTTTAATAACTTTAATTGCTGCACACAACCTATGGGGTCACAATAATTATTACCTTTTGACTAGTCATGACCAGTAGATACTAGATAACCCTTATTAATTGCTTGTTCACTGGGTCAGAAGTCATGCATAATAACCTGATCACATGACAAATTGGCTGCCGATAGGGGGCATACATGTTTTACAAACATATCTTGTTTTTGATGATTTGTGTTCTCAGGTGTTTGACAAAGATATGGTCATCCCTAAGTTTCTATGGTAAATATAGGGGACGTGCTTGTGCATTTCGGGTGCTGCAGGTAATTTTCTGATTTCCATTGTTTTGTGTAAGAACATGAAGATAATTATAGTATCAGTGGGGGCGTCAGTGGCTGAGTGGTTAAAGTCCTTGACTTTTAACCACTTGCCCCTCACCGCTGTGGGTTCGAATCCCGACAGGAACTTTGGATTCTTTCATGTGAGGAAGCTATCCAGCTAGCGTACAGAACGTCGGTGGTTCTACTCAGGTGCTGGTTCATGCTTGAAATAATGTCACCAAATTACCTATATTGGGTCGGTGTGACGTAAAACCCAAACAAACAAACAATAGTATCAGTGGAGCATACACGAAGAGTTTAGATATTGTGTCTGTAACATTTACCAATGAATCTTAAATGAAAATGAATCATTACCCTTATTCGAAAATTATGATAAAAATGGGATCATAATAATGGGGAGGGGGATACTTAATTATAAATTTCGAAAAAGAATAAATGTTAAAATCACTTCAGTGACTAATGTTTTGCCAAATTGCCTTATATCTGCAAAAGATATTGCAATCATGACCAATAGAAAATAAATGCTGCTGGAATTTGCACTTTTTCATGTATATTTCCATTTGCTCAGGTAAATGATATAAACTTTTTTAAATAAATTGTACACTGGATTAGAACAGTCCATTCAAATAGTAAGGGATTTCAATATCAAAACAAAAATTGAGCTATCAACAGTAAAGATTCTGGTTTAACTGTACAGAATATGGAGGCTGACTTTGCTCTGACTTTGCTCTACACTGGTGGCCAAGACAAATCACATTCTGTCACAGCAGGATTAGGGTTAAGAACTGTTTATTGGTCAGATGTCCTCCTTTCTGAGTCACAAATATGCATTTTGTTGCAACTTGCATACTGTAGAAGGTTGTAGTGATTGATAGGGAATAATGATGTAAGAGTATTCGTTTTTCTGGTATTGACCTTTGTAATATTAGTCCTAAGATCTAATAACTGTTTACATGTCAGATGTATTTCTTTTTTGAAAAGAAAAACCAACAACCCCCCCCCCCCCCCCCCCCCCCAAAAAAAAAAAAAAAAAAAAAAAAAAAAAAAAAAAAAACAACAACAACAAAAAAAACAAAAACATCTGTGAAGCCACAGTATGTTTTCTATCATGTTATGTAGCCAAACTAATTTGGCATGAATGGTTTAACACATTATAAAGACTCGTTATTGTATTTATGTCAGACTTATGACATTGCCTATAGCTAATTTGCTCAATGTTTATTTTTTGGCAAGTCTAAAATTTGGACTATAATATAAGTGCATTGAATATAAGCCAGATTTAAACGTAAAAATTTTGATATTTTAAAGTTTCATATCAACTTAATTCTTATAAAGTCTTTCTATTTTCATTACAGGTTTCAGCACATCTGATGGCCATGGCATGTAACAGTAGATCTATGAGTTTAGAGTTGGAATAGCTGTTATATAAATGATGGAATACTTGAAACTGAACTGTCTAGTATCTAATAATAACATAGACCTAGTAAGAAAAATATTTGTGACAAAAGCAATTAGCCAAATTTTCATCAAAATTGCAAATTAAAAATGAATATATAAAAGTGAACAATAATCCTACTAGGAAGGTTACTAGTAATCAAATTAGATTTTGAAATGGATATTTGGAAAAATATCATTATTAAACATCTTGGAAGAAAGGTAGCAAGGCATTGGGATAGCTTCATGATGGACATACTGGCTGTTGACAAAGGAATCAAGCCTGCATATCTGTATGATATAGGTCAGCCAAATGGAAAACAACTTGTGGAGTTTCTAAAAGATCTAAAAGAGAAGGAGTTCATTATGAATAATCTTAATGTAATAGAAATTGAAATGGATTGTTTAATAGTGAATACTGATGAATTGAAGCAAATTGTTCCTCTAATTGGCATTAATGAGAGATTAATTGATGTGTCTGAATATCTTAAGGAACCAGAGATATGTGGTATTGGAGATGCTGCTAAAAGTATTAAAGAAAATCTTGAGAATTTGATAGTAGAGCTGGACTGCTGCAAGGTGAAGTTTTTGTCCGGCTGTTGTTTAACATGTAATATATCCAGTCTTTTTGGTGTGTTGTTAAATTACCCAGTTGTCTATTGGTTTGACAGTCAAGATGGCAAGGGAGGCAATTGTTTATCAATGGAAAGACTGACCAATGTAAAGGTTGAAATTTGCTGTGTTCAGAGATATGGACAGAATTCAAAAGAAAGACCAAAAAGTCATTGTCTGTACTCATTTAGTTATCCATCATGTCTTAGCATTATCTGTAGACCTTTTGTTGACCAATGGTTTCATAGACTGAGGGATAGAGTCAATGAACAAGACCTGTTTTCTAATGTAACAATCAAATTTGAAGAAGTTATTCTAGAAGCTGTTTGTTTATGAAAATATATCTGGCTGTTGTGTAATTTCAACATGGGACTATTTTCAATGATGCAAAGTGAACTTTGGGAAGATGTTAGCAATCATTGGTAATACTAGTATCAGGACTGCATAATTACTAAAAACTTAAATATTGTATCAAATATGGTTTAATTATAAATCATAAAATGTACATGATTAAAAAGTTAACATACATTTGGTGTTGATATTATAATACAATGTATAATACTGCATTTTACAGTATTCATGTGAATTACAATGCACTTACATTATTATTATCATCATCATTTTTATTATACGCCCGTTTGAAAAACGGGACGTATTATGGGAACGCCCCTGGCGGGCGGGCGGGCGGCGTCCAATTTTGTCCGGAGCATATCTCCTACATGTATGGAGGGATTTTAATGAAACTTCATAGAAATGTTCACCACTATGAGGAGCAGTGTCGCGCACATGAACCAGGTCTCTAGGTCAAAGGTCAAGGTCACACTTAGAGCTCATTGAAAAATGCTTGTCCGGAGCAAAACTTCCACATGTATAGAGGGATTTCAATATTACTTGGCACAAATGTTCACCATTGTGAGGCGGAGTGTCGCGCGCAAGATTCAGGTCCTTGCGGCCAAGGTCAAGGTCACACATAGAGGTCAAAGTTCAGATAAAAATATGAAAATGTGTATATGGACCATTTAGTCATCATTTATTGAGGGATTGTAACACAAATGGTCATTATCAAGACTATGGCTGTGATACATATAATTTAGGTCAATATATACAAGGTCAAGGTCACTAAAGATGATGAAATATCCAGATTTTGTCCAGAGCATATCTCCTACATGTATGGAGGGATTTTAATGAAACTTCATAGAAATGTTCACCACTATGAGGAGCAGTGTCGCGCACATGAACCAGGTCTCTAGGTCAAAGGTCAAGGTCACACTTAGAGCTCATTGAAAAATGCTTGTCCGGAGCAAAACTTCCACATGTATAGAGGGATTTCAATATTACTTGGCACAAATGTTCACCATTGTGAGGCGGAGTGTCGCGCGCAAGATTCAGGTCCTTGCGGCCAAGGTCAAGGTCACACATAGAGGTCAAAGTTCAGATAAAAATATGAAGATGTGTTAATGGACCATTTAGTCATCATTTATTGAGGGATTGTAACACAAATGGTCATTATCAAGACTATGGCTGTGATACATATAATTTAGGTCAATATATACAAGGTCAAGGTCACTGAAGATGATGAAATATCCAGATTTTGTCCGGAGCATATCTCCTACATGTATGGAGGGATTTTAATGAAACTTCATAGAAATGTTCACCACTATGAGGAGCAGTGTCGCGCACATGAACCAGGTCTCTAGGTCAAAGGTCAAGGTCACACTTAGAGCTCATTGAAAAATGCTTGTCCGGAGCAAAACTTCCACATGTATAGAGGGATTTCGATATTACTTGGCACAAATGTTCACCATTGTGAGGCGGAGTGTCGCGCGCAAGATTCAGGTCCTTGCGGCCAAGGTCAAGGTCACACATAGAGGTCAAAGTTCAGATAAAAATATGAAGATGTGTATATGGACCATTTAGTCATCATTTATTGAGGGATTGTAACACAAATGGTCATTATCAAGACTATGGCTGTGATACATATAATTAAGGTCAATATATACAAGGTCAAGGTCACTGAAGATGATGAAATATCCAGATTTCGTCCAGAGCATATCTCCTACATGTATGGAAGAATTTTTATAATACTTTATGGAAATGTTCACCACCATGATATGTATTGCTCCATGCATGATCCAGGTCTCCAGGTCAAAGGTCAAGTTCACACTTAGAGCTCATTGAAAAACGCTTGTCCGGAGCAAAACTTCTACATTCATAGGGGGATTTCAATATAACTTGGCACAAATGTTCACCATTGTGAGGCTGAGTGTCGCACGCAAAATTCAGATCCCTGCGACCAAAGTCAAGGTTACACATAGAGGTCAAAGTTCAGATAAAAATTTGAAGATGTGTATAGGGACCATTTATTCATCATTTATTGATGGATTGTAGCACAAATGGTAACTATCATGACTACAGGTGTGACACATTTAATTTAGGTTAATATTTGCAAGGTCAAGGTCACTGGAGATGATTAAATATCCAGATGTTGTCCGGAGCATATTTTCTACATGCATGGAGGAATTTTAATGTTACTTTATAGAATTGTTCACCACCATGAGACGTAGTGCCCTGCACATGAACCAAGTCTCTAGGTCAAAGGTGAAGGTCACAGTTAGAGTTCATAGAAAAACGCTTGTCTGGAGCAAAACTTCTACATGCAGAGAGGGATTTCAATATAATTTGGCACAAATGTTCATCATTGTGAGGCTGAGTGCCGTGCATAAAATTCAGGTCCCTGCGACCAAGGTCAAGGTCACACATCCTGTGCATATCTTCCCTACTGATTTGTTTTAAGGTTCATTTAACAACACAGTGCCAAGGATAAAAACTTGCTTGCTAGATAACACTTATCCATAATGCCCCCATCTCCATCTAAAGCTTTCGTAAACGGGCGTATTTTGTGACTATGGCACCCTTGTTATTAATATGAGTAGGTAAAGTATTTTGCAAGGTTTGTTTATAATAATCAAGGTAAAATAAAACGTGCTTACAATATTGTTTACTAACATAGGTTATGTATTTGCAATGCATTTATTTTTCAATAAAAAAGGGTGCATATTGACTATATTAATGTTTTTGTTTTTCTTAGTTTTGAAAAATGACTAAACTTTGGAAAAATATTATTTGTTATAGTTACAGATAGTCTCCATCATCTGAACATCTTTATTTAATTATATATTAACTTACCACCAGAACCAAATGTTTTGTATTATTACTATGAGAGGTGAAGTGTTCTGATGTTGGATGACCATAGTAGTTCACTCTGAACTAGTTAGTGTTGGTGGTTCTACTTAGTTGTCTGATTGTGCCTAAAAAAGTGTAAAGATCTTTCTACACTTTAAATATAACGCCTGTTACGCTGGAATGTCGCCATATGACCTTCATGTGGCTGAAAACCAAATATAACCAAACAAAATAAAAAGACTTTCACAAAAGTTTGCTGTATATTAACCTTGTGACTGTCAAGAAAAAAAAATCTTACTGACCCTTTTTAGGGGACAATACAACTTTAAGTAGAAAATCTTTACATATTTTGTAACAGTATCAAAACACAATGAATGTGCTTCATAAAATCGACAAATCAAAACACAATGACACACAGCGGCTTAAGAACCACAACTAAGGACTGTAACTATATTATTTGTGAAATTGGTTTACCTGCCTTTGCAACATTGGTTCTGGTTGAAGCAATAAAAGTTCAAAAACTTTTTTTGTCGAAATTTTGTTATTTAACCTAGAGATGTAGATCTTTGTTAAACCAACATAGCAAACATTTTCATGGAGATATCTGAGTCAAGAGCTCGGCCCGAAGGTCCTTTTTATACAGGGTCTTTCAAATAGAATTCTATTTGAAAGAGCCTGTTTTTGTATGAATATTTTTCAAATAAAGTCCAAAATCAGTCGTTTAGGCTAAAGAATAAGTTCACTAAAGGAAATTTTAGGACTGCCATAATTATCACACCACATTCTATATGATTCGAATTTCTTGATGCGCTTAAATTGAAGATATTTGGAGAAAAAAAAACAAGAAAAAAGCATGAAATCAAATTGGTTCTTAATACATGTGTTTGGAGTTTACATATATATGATGCAAAACTAGCTAATGTACTTGATAGAGCTTTTTATTAATGTTAAAATATTTTACAAGGCTTAAATGATCTTTCATTAATTTCGCTACTTGCATTTCATTTTCCTTTTTGTTTACAATGTTTTCCCTCTCTGTGTGATCCTCTTATATCTCGAGGATCATCTCTGATATACGTTAACAATAAGATTAACTGAACCCTCGATCAAACGTCAACACCAATATTTTGTTTCCCTTTTACCTGGGACAAAAACGGTATTTTTGTCCTAGCTTTTACTGATTACCTAAAATTACAGAATGAGACAACAAATTGTAACATTTTGTAATCCGTTTTCATTTTAAATGAGATATATATCAATTCAGGATGCATTAAATTTTCTTAACCCGCACAATTGTAAATATCCAAAATGAATACCTTATAAATTCTTCTCAATCTTCATTAAATCGGGCTAAAGTGTTGAAGTACTTTTCAAGTAGAGAATGCATATAATCTGTATTTTTACTGTAATTTAAAATTTATTACTTAATCGGATTTTATATTAATTTGTTTAAAGATTTTTCTACTTGGGCTGCGAATATTTTTTTATCTTTCTGCGAGAGTGTCTCCGGGCCTAAATACAAAATGTAAACAATAAGAAATTTCACTTTAACTATGAAGATCGCCATATTGTTTACAGTTGTCACGGTGAAATAATTTACATAGAACAGGTGTTGACGGGTGGCCGAAAAATTAACCACTCTTGTGAACGTGCTTCGTAAAATTGACGAATCCGTTTGCTTTATGAACATCTAAGACCGAGATTAATATCACCGAGAATATAGTGGATCCAAAAAAGATTAAACGAAGTCAATTTACCCGGTCTTTTACTAAATTTACACCATAATGTGAAAACCAACATTTATTAGATCTATTTAATAGGGAAAATGTCCTAATATACTCAAATATGGACAAAATCAATTTATTTGAAGTTGCTAAAGTTTTGACTTTTTTCTAAAATGCAGAACGACTGACGGAAAACTTATGCACCATTTTACATGAAATTGGAACTTAAGTTAGTGGTAGAGCAATAAATAGATACTTTTGTATGTAGTAATGGTTTGTCGTACAAACGCTACAAGTATGGCTTTATATGCCCGTGCTAGGGGGCGTGAGGGATGTTGCACGTATTCATTATCCCTCATGAACAGACTCAATCAAACCGAGTCTGCAATTCTCTTGTAGTTTTGTTGTGATTAACGCTTCCGAGGGATCACTTTGTTTCCAGATGTTTATATGGCTAACGATTAAACATAATTCGGTAAAAGACATGACACCAGGTGTTAGCACTCCACACTTATCCAGGCTATTACACAGTTTTCATTTATTAGGAATCATTTCGTAGGGCAAGGCTAACATTGACACGTACGAGTATTTGGATTAATTTCGGTTTAGGAAATCAAAATGTATATAATCGGCTACTTCTTTACAAACACCGGTATTAGTTCATGATTGCATAGTACATAAACAATAGATTTATATTTAAGTCATACATTTAAGTCTTAGTATTAGCGTAAGATAAAATTTATCTATAGAAAAAAAAACTATTGTCACTAACGTGTCTATTCAACAAAGACTCTTTTTTTCTAACAATTGTTACATTAAGATTTACAATAAAACGGTAAAATAAGGGAAAAAATATGTGCCATTATGTGCCTCTTTTTCTCAAATATGCATGAGTCATTCAAGAAGTCAAATGGCCATGGGTAACGATATTTTATAGCGACCGGTGTATTATACGGGTACATAATACGGGTATCACATGTTAGATCTATCGATCGATTATTTTACGCGTAGCACCTATGTACAGTGAAATATTGAAAAACAGAAGGTAAAAGTGACAGTAAGGTTTGAAGTGTACAGGATTAATATTCGAATAACTGGGATTTTAAACTTTATTAAATAATATGTGAATTTAAAAAAAAAGTGAAATTTAATTCAAATATAGGATGTGAAGATGCCTCACAAACAGGTACTTAATATTATTTAATAGCGTTTATATATATTAGATATTAAAGAATAATATCGAGGTTTAATATATATCTATTAAGTCTTAAACTTTGGAGTGAGATGTCTTATTATATATAGCAAATCTGGGCGGAAATGAATGCAATAAATAAGAATATATAGGCAATTTGTGGTGTCTTAGTGAAAATCTTAGGAAAATTGTTGTGAACGAGAAAAAATATACGCAAATTTTGGTGTCTTATAAAGTAAATTTTGATAAAAAGAAAAGAAATAGACACCTTTTGAGTTGTGTATTCTTTTATTATGACATTTCAAAAAGCAGAGAGAAAACAAATCCGATCGGAAATCCATTTATCTAAGTTCACACTGGTTTGGTGTGAAATTGATTATTAAATTTCTGAATTAGTAATCTTAAGTAATTTGATATATGTAAAAGGCCTAAGTCTAAAAGAAATGTACACGCAAAATGTGCCAAATGTCGAAACCTTAATTAGTAGCCTTGTACTTTTTCATTCGTTTGGAACAGAGTGATAAAATAGTAATTTGTCATGCTTAAGATCCCTGAATAAAACAGAACATGTAAAATTTTGTAAAATTTATTTTGCCGTACTGGCCATGGGTCAATCTTTGAGATTGCGTTGATGTTGTTTTTCCATTATTTAATATAAAGATATTAGATTTTTTTATTTGTTTTTGCTGATCTTATTTCACTTGGTAGTTTATAGGACACAATCAATTTATGATATAAAGGGGAAAACTTTAATTGGATAAATCATGAGCTTTTCCCTAGCACACAGAAGCCGTGCATTGTCCACTATATTTGTGTATCGGACGTGCCGTACTGTAATATCCGTCGATCAAATTGCTAAATAAAATATGCAAATATTTATTCTAAGAGGAAAGTAAATGTTAGTAATTGTGTAACATTTTGATAAAAGGTCAGAAGTTCCGCAAATGTAGGGTTAATCTCTTGTAAAATTAATGTCCATTCTAAATGATGTGTTATATGGCTGTTTACAGTGTAAATATCTAGCCATAGTAAAATTTGTGCCACCTACGTCATGTCACTCAAGAACACTTGCTTGTACCAAACTATACGGACGATGAACTCCGCTTATATCGAATGCTGCTATTGCGGCTCTTGGCTAACAACAACAATATTTTTTTATCATTTGTAATCCATTTCGAGGAACACACAGATTGCATAAACAAGAATATATAGTGGGCGCATTTTGAATCTTGTCCCAGGGTATGTAAGATCAATCTACCACCAGATTCTTTCCACAGGGACCCAGCACAGTGTTGGGATAGTGTAAAAATGTAATTCTAGAAAAAAATGTATATTAATAAAAATGTATACTGTATATATAATATATATTGATAGTGTAAAAAAGTAATTCTAGAAAAAATATATACTAGAAAAAAATATATACTGTATATGTTTCTAGAATTACTTTTTTACACTATCCCAACACTGTGATTCTTACTATCTATAGACGGTGGGAGCGGGGACTAAATAATTTCTGCCTTGATCTGCAGTCAGGGTACTGTATATTCAGTTTATATGGCACGTAGATTCATTTTAATTGACATGATTTAAAATAGAGTTATGGCATAGTATTTGTAACCGTTAACCGCTTTTCATAAATAAAAAAAGATTATTCGACCCACTTCAAGGAACATTATAGTTAAGCAGTCAGTAGAAGTTATCGCCCCTTTACGCAGAGGCACCATTTCGAGAATAATGCCAGAAAGTGTTTGAGATGAAAAATTCTTGTAACTCCTAATTCATTTTACTGACATAAGATCTGTATATGCCTGAAGTATTGTATTATACACACTATTGTATTGTATTGTACACGTATTTTATTGTCCACAATTTTGTATTGCATTGTAGATCGAAAATACCTTTTCTGTTTTTAACCTGTTTTTATTCCTTTACTTTTATATTCTTTTATTTCAGCTCTTTTACTAACATTCTTGTCAGTTGACGTGCATCAAGTCTAGGTCCCCAACAGGGGTTTTGACTATATGGAAGATAGATATACTAGATAGATAAATTTGACAGGACAAAGTTACGTTACTACCTGTCCAGCATTGACATGTGTTTAATGTTGCACTTTCATTTTACTTTTTAATTTGGATATAGGCCTGAAACTTAACACCTTTTTTCACCTTTATTCAAAAATTCATAGCAGTTTTCCAGATCTTTTTTATTTTTAATATAATTCAGTACCATAAATCAATGTTAAGTTGGTTTTATCAGACAAACAGAACTTCCCAATCTTTCCCATGTCGTCTGCAAAAATATTTTCAGAAGTATTGATTTACCTAAAATTCGGGTCTTAGTTATTGCACATGGATATTCAAACTAGAATTCCCCAGGTGTTGCTTATTTTTGAAAGTCGCAAGTTCTCTTTAAATAACAGGCAAAACTTCAAAACATATAAATCGTTGTACTATTTTAAGTGCTGTTTAGCATAGAAAACAAATGTCTCTCTGATTGATGAAGTAATGTGGATGCCTTACTGTTAAAAATATACTGTACTGGATGGGCAGAAACTGCTAGGGGACGGAAACTGCTAGGAAACCAGTATCCTATTGTATTTAATGTATGTATTGTGTTGTGCAGCATTTTACTATAGAGAATTTTATTGTTATGCATTTAATATATTGTATTGTTTTGTATAGTTCTGTAGAGCATTGTACTGTGTCCTATTGTATTTAATGTATTGTATTGTATTGTATTGTGCAGTATTGAACTGTAGAGAATTGTACTGTAGAGTATTGTGTTGTATTGCATTGCATTCAATGCATTGTATGATAGTCTAATTCTATTTTTATACAGTTGCTTATATTAGATCTAAAAAAAAATTTTCACTTAAATTTCTTCTTTTAAATAAAGACAAGTATTCATATTTTTAGCTCTTGTGATGAAGAAAATTGTTACCCCAGTATAAGTGTTCAAACCTTCAATGCCTGGGTTGAGGTCAGACACCATAATTACATGGCCATCTGTACAGTTTGAACTATTAACTATTTAATGCTAAATTTTCTGAAAACGAAGCTAGTGCAAGTGATATTTTACTTTATACTGTATCTTCATATTTTACATGATTAACATATTTGATTAAACAACTTTTATGTGTACAATAGTTTCACCTAAATCATTAATGCAGCACTGACAAAATAAAGGAATGATATAATTGACTTGGACTTCAGTCTGTAAGAATGAGTAATATGTAGGTATATGAAAAAAATGGTATAAAAGGTTTGTTAAAGTATATATAATAGTAAGTCACACAGTAGAAATTTAATCCGAAGTTTCAATGGATTTTTTTATAATTGAAAACATGATTTACTCTTCCATGGCAAGAACACAGTGTTCACTGGCCAACTTCAGGTGACCTAGACGAAGTGTACCAGACTAAATCGTGTCCTATTAAAGTACATTTAAGTACACACATTGAACTGTTTTCAAATGATTGTGTCACAGCCAATTTACAGTCACAGTTTTTATGTTTTCAATATTCTATTTCAATACTTCAAAAAAAAAAAGAAGAAAAAAAGCATGACTAAAATTCAAAGATATTATATAGATCTTCCTTAGAAAAAAGATACTGTATCTTTCTTTGTTCAATAAATTATTTCAAGATAGTTTTCTTATTGAAAATAACTTATCCTATTTCTTTTAAGATAAACAATTTTGCACAATTCAAAGTAATTAAATTATGCAAACAAAAGAGCATGAAGGAGGATTCAAAAGGTACCAAACACTGCAAATTTCAAAAACTGGGCAAGGTACTTTTTCCCAAAATAGCCAGGGAAAGGCTTTTCTCTGAAGCATGATATGCCTTTTACCTCTCTTTGCCTGGACTATGTTATAATTTACGATGATCTATTTTAGAAATTGCTAATTTAATAATTTTCAGTCTTTTTGTTTCAGGAAAATACCAGTTATTAATGTTTAAAATGTCAGAAATTTTACTATTGTGTTTCTTTTGTTGGTATGGAAGAAAATTTGAATGATATCTGTCATGCCAGTGCATTAGTAAATCATTTAGGGGGGGGGGGGGGTGCTATATATTTTTATGTTACATTATATGGATAGATTGAATCTATAATAAATCTAGTAATGATCGCTGATTTTCTAAACCTGATCGTTATTCGTTAATCAGGTATTGTCATATACTGTCAGGAATCCAATTATTTTTCCTTCTTTTATTGTGATTGAAATTTTTAGAACATCCTGTCGATGACATTGATTAAATAAAATAACATGTTAATGATGCCATGTTTAATTGCATATTGAATTTATAGGAGTTTTCTAATGAAATCTACAGTCCCCTAAGGAAATGGTCTCCCATTTCACTCAGCTAATGATATTGTATTTGCTAATGCCAGACATCAAAACAAATATTGACTGTTCCCGTATAAAACAAGAATGAATAATCATTTCCATTTATAGTTGTAATATTCTAAGGGGCATTAAAATGTTTTACTGGTAATAATATGTTATTTGGAATTTTATAAGAAAGCATCACTAATTAATTGATTTTTTTTTATATAAAAATAAGATACCAAATAATCATTATTATATACCTTTACCTTGACTAAATATCTTAAATGGACTTTCCCATCTTTCAATCTGGACATCACCATTAATTATTTTTAGGGAAATTTCAAAATATATCATATAATATATACTGACTGAAAAGCAAACAGTGTAGATCATGATTAGACGGCCCTGCTCAGGTGGCAACAGATTCAGTAACTTTGCTACCATTGCAGACTAAGGTCAGTTGACACATAAGTTTGACTGGTCATTGTTTTCACTATACACTACTCAGCACATGTTTTGAAATTTTTCCTTAAAAATGATAAATGGTTTTGTCCATATTGAAAAATGGACAAGTCCATGTAAGGTACTGTATTCAGTGAGGGTTAAAGGCTAATGTAAAGAAGAATGCTTATGTAAAAGTAATATGTTTAGGACTTAATGTTTCAAGACATTGTGAAAAATTGATAAGATATACATTTGTAAATAAAAATAAATTAAAGACATAAAATCAATGATGAATTTGAGCTTGATTGTAAGGTTTTCATTCAAATGGTATTTAAAAAAAATATTGATGTCAAAACATGCATTTCATGTTTAAATTATTTATTATTTCAGGGATTAAAAGACATGTTTGATTTGCTCATTCAGGGTCTTGATTTCAGTATGATTGAAATACTTGTTTGATTTACTATTACAGAGGCATGGTTTTACAGTCTCAGAGCCAAATGAGTTTGAGAAGCTGTACAGACCAAGTGTGATTCAACATTTACCTCCGTTGTCAGCCAGAGAAGTAAGTGTAAAGAAATTATACAATTCTTCATTGTGAACAAAATCACTTTCAAACTCAATGATCACATCTAAGTAATGATGATATACTTGAATGAGAAGACTTACCATCTTCCTTTTGACCAGTGACATTGTAAAATTTGACCTTTCAGTGCTTTTTAGGGCCAATTTGGGACTGAAATGCCCCTGCACTTTTGAATCAACGATTAACATATTCAAATGAATTTTTTTAATCTGTTTGTAGATTTCTCCCTTTTCACTCTGTGACACAGTTTTCTCCTCTCCAGAGGCCCGGCCACCATTCCCAAAAAACTGAAAATAAAGCAGTGGCCTTACTTGCAAATTTTTTTCTTACACAATTCATGCATGTGGTTGTTGAAACTCAAGTTTAATTGTTTATATCACAATTTTATTTTTGTTTATTGGTCTATGATTTGTTTGTGGAAAGTGATAATGCTGTAATATATGTAATAATATAATATAATATAATAATACACTTAATTTTAAGTTAAATTTTGGGGATTTTTTTTCAGCCCCCGGGCATATAGTGTCCGTCTGTCCGTACGAGGTTAACCTAGAACGGCAAGTTGGATTTTTCTTAAATTCTACCTGTATCAATGGCTTCTAAGTTTACACACTTACTTATCAACACAAAGTACATGATCTGGGCAAGTTACATAACTCTGGCTTTCATATTTACCAAGTTATTGCCCTTTTCAGCACTTAGAAAATGAATAATGGTTATGACCTAAAACGGCAAATTTGAAATATCTAAAGTTCTATCTATACTAATGGCTTTATAATTTCCACACTTACTTATCAATACAAAGTACATGATATTGCCAAGTTATATAAAGTTCTGTGTCATCCATATTTCCCAGTTATTTCCCTTTTTTCACTTTGAAAATAGGGCCTTGTCTGGTTAACCTATTTCGGCAAGTTGGATTTATCTTAAATTTCTTCTAATTGCTTAATTTCTTTAATGATATCTTTCATATTTAGTAGGTGGATACCTTTGATGGTCCTCTAATTTTTTGTGGAGTAAGCGGTCTCTAGGGTCAAGGTCACTGGTTTAAAAAATAAATATAAACATTTTTGCTCATACAGCCTTTATACTTTATGTGATGTCTTAGTTTACTACAAACATGCCAAGGGAGGTCCTCCTTCTTTGGGTGTAGTAAGGGGTCATTTGGGTCAAGGTCAATGTTACCAATGTCAAGGTCACCAATGTTAAAAATAGATTTTTACAGGTGCATTGACCTTATTCTATAGTCAGATGTTATTTATAATTGATAGAAATATATACTTTGATGGGGTTAGTGGTCAGTTGGGTCAAGGTCACCAGTGCTAAAAATAGATTTTTACACATTTGCTCATACAGCCTTTCTTAAGTAACAGATATATTTTATATTTAGTAGGAAGATAACTTGCATGATATTCATCCTTTTGATTGGGGTAGGGATCAGTGGGTCAAGGTCACTTGTGCTAAAAATAGATTTTTACACTTTTGCCCATACAGCTTTTATTTATTGACAGATGTATTTCATATTTGGTAGGAAGATAACTTGCATGGTATTCTTCCTTTTGATAGAGTAAGGGGTCAGTTGGGTCAAGGTCACCAGTGCTAAAAATAGATTTTTACACTTTTGCCCATACAGCTTTTATTTATTGACAGATGTATTTCATATTTGTTGGGAAGAAAATTACTTGCATGGTATTCTTCCTTTTGATAGAGTAAGGGGTCAGTTGGGTCAAGGTCACCAGTGCTAAAAATAGATTTTTACACTTTTGCCCATACAGCCTTTATTAATTGACAGATGTATTTCATATTTGGTAGGAAGATAACTTACATGGCATTCTTCTTTTGGATAGAGTTAGGGGTCAGTTTGGTTAAGGTCACCAGTGCCAAAAATAGATTTTTACACTTTTGCCCATACAGCCTTTATTTATTGACAGATGTATTTCATATTTGGTAGGAAGATAACTTACATGGTATTCTTCTTTTGGATAGAGTTAGGGGTCATTTGGTTAAGGTCACGGGTGCTCAAAATAGATTTTTACACTTTTGCCCATACAGCCTTTATTTAATGACAGATGTATTTCATATTTAGTAGGAAGATAACTTGCATGAAGTTGAATATTTTTCAACTTCACAAGTCAGAGCAATGACTTGGCAACTTATATTTTTCACAATTACAAAATGCCATGACTTTGTCAAGCTATATAACTTGTGTTTACAATTTTTTGGCAATTTTTCTGTCCATTACTAAGTGAATGGGTAAACATTTTTTGAAATATTGCTACTGACAAGAATCTGAGCCGGGGGCATTTGTGTTTAACAAACACATTCTTGTTTTACAATAGCTATGCACCAAAAAAATCACAGCAATTTTGTCAATATATTCATGCCTTATACTTATGCAGTAACGTAATGCTGGCCACTGGGTACCTGAACCTTCCTGTAAACCTGTTTGTTTGGAGGTTGTCAGTGGCTTTCAAGGGTGATCTTTGCTCCCATGTTTCAAACCAAATAAAAATTTAGCATAGCATTTAAGATAATAAAATTAATTAAAAATATCATTATAGTCTTTTCAGGGATTGAACATTTTTTTAGAGCCATTATCACTATAGGAAAAGTAGCTGCTAAATTTTATGATCAGACTATGTACACTTTACTACTCATCCAAGATCCCTTCGCATACTCTCTCAATTTCTACTCGTAAATTCAAGCAGACAAGTGAAAATTTTGATCCCTGACTTTCAGTACGGTACGTTGATATTAGATGAAGGTAAACATTATACACAGGAGCTGTGTTTGTTCATTATATATATACATTACCAACGGAAAGTGACAGTGCTGTAAAGTCAAAGAAAAGAAGTATAATATAAATCAATTGAAATCGTAAAATCAACTTGACAACACAAAGAAATATTAAATATAAATCTATAACACAAATATTTATTCATATATACTCTGGGCTATTTAATCACTTATTCCTTTCCAACTGCAAATAATTGGAATCATTACATTATAATGAGACCTATTTTCATTTTTTATTTTTTTTTTATTTGTAGATATTTCATTATATATTTATTCTTTTTAAAAAGCCTTAAGGTGTGGAAAAGGGTAATGTTTTAAGTTAGAATTTGTAAATTCTTTCTTATTTGAAAATCAAATTTTGAACTTTTTTTTTTTAATTTTGACATGAAAATTCATACAAATTGATTTCAAACTGAAAATTGAGAAAATGCATTGATTGGTATTTAATTGTAAATGTAATCTCCATATTCTGGTGATAAAAAAATTTGAGCTGAATTTTTTACAAGCTGTCATTGGATAGTTATATACCTTTGTAAGACTTTGTAACGTAAATTGAAGTCAACAAACTTAACACATTAACCATTCGCAAAAGAAATGTGTTTACAAAATTTAACAATTTATCGGCACTGTATTTTAAATGAGAATAGGTATTATTTCACACTTTTCAAGGATTTTTGTCTCGTTTATTTTATCATTATAGGGAACATTTTGACAATACCAGCTTTGTCAACCTGACCAGTAATATGAAATTGTTGTATGTATTATTTCACACAAAATCAATAATAGAATTTTCTTGTTCAAATACGTAATTAAAAATGGAAAAAATATTATTTTTTTAACAATCAAACTTAAGATTTTCAACAATAAGACCTGTAGTGGTACAAAGCACAAGAGGTTTTCTTTAAAACATTTTTTTTGTATTATTCTTTTCTATTGAAGTTAGTTTAAAAGCCTTCAAAGTGGCATTTTCTATTTAGAAAAGGAAACACAAAAAGCAAGTTCTTTTGCTTTGAAAAAATGAGTTACTTATGATAAAAAGAAACACAAAATCTATTGTATTTTTCTTATAAAGAAGTTTTGATTCCTTTCTTTAGGATATTTTTTTCTCATATTGTGTCAATTTAAATCTAAATTATAGATTTATTTTTAGTTGTGACATATAATTTATAATATAATGCATATCATAACTTAATGAGACAGATATTTTGCTCATTATACCATTAAATAGAGGATATTTGTTAGGTTCAGTGTAAGATCGGAATATATTTCACCGAGTGAGCACCAAAAGGTATATTTCACGAGTGGCGCAGCCACGAGTGAAATGTGAACTTTTGGTGTTCACGAGGTGAAATATATTTCGATCTTACACTAAACTTAACAAATTTTCTTTTTATTACATGCAATCAAACGTTAAAAAGGACATTTTTACCTAATATTAAATGAATAGCGCGCCAAATAATTATACAACGTGACGTCATTTACGACGTCACTTTATTAAGTTGGTTTCCAGGTCTGTGTACGCTTGTATTTCACTGAAACAACGTAAGGGGCTTAAATTCAAAACAGTGAAATTATCAAATTGATAATTTCACTGTTTCAAACAGTGAAATTACCAGTTTTAATTCACTGATATATTTCTATAAACCATCGAAAAGCATGTAATAATATGAAATTGTTGTACAAATTTTGAGGTCAGTGAGTGCATCAGGATTTATTATTTTCAGATTTATGTATACAGTGGTGCCTTTTGTTCTTTTGGATATCTTTGCATCATGATAATTACCTTAATTGTACTTATTATCCATTATGGTAATGAACTTTGGGGTCTCTTACTTTTTAAGAAGACATGCTTAAATTTATCTTTAATTTCAGCCTTAAAAAGACATGGACCTATATATAATACTGTCTGAGGAACGGAATTTCCACTATAAAACATTGCTTGAAACAGATAAAATACCTACTTAAAATAGTTTTACAACCTTTTAACAAATTTTATACTGTAAAGAACACAATATTTGTATAAGCCGAGCTTATAAAACGATCTTCTGTTTATATATAATTACATTTGAATTTTAATTTAAAAAATGGGTTTAAAAGAAGTTTCGATATATAGAATGAAGGCTGTAATCCAGTCACTTAAACAAGGCGACTGTTTGTCAAGTGCTTTAAAATAAGACTATTTA